GGCAAAATTTATTATGGTTTATAATGGCAAATGATACTTTGAATATTACATATTAATAACTTGATTGGAATTATAACCTTGAGTTGACAGTTTGATACTTTGAAAACTTTGAGCCAGCCCTACCCCCAAGGGATGCAGGGTGGGGCCCAAAGGAGTCTGTGTGCTAAAATTTCTTCATTTTCCTTGTTTAGAATGAGAGGTGCTAGTTTCAAATACTTTTTAGTCTTAAATCTGTATGCTAGATATTGAATAGGTTGGTTTTATTGTTTTTTGTCACAGAATAATATTTCTGTTCGTGTTAAAAACAAAATCAACTCTCTGTATAAATATATCAGGTGATCGTTAAGGCCCATGGGCCTCTTGTTTTGTATAATCAGTTACCTCCCCTTAATTTTGTTTAAGATACAGCTGTTGTTTAGTTGGTCAAGGACACTTCCATTGACTGGGTAGCTCAGTCAGTTAGAGCAACAGTTGAACCCTTTCACCCCTATGTAATTCAGTAGACTCTACCATACATTGATCTTGATGAGTTCATTATGGTCTACAGTGGTGAAAGGGTTAATTAAGGTTCAGGGTTTGAATCCATGTCTAGCACACTGTCTTTTACATTCACAACACTATTGATTATATGAAAATATAATAGAGATAACATGTAAGGTATGCAAGGTATGGTTTCCTTTTCAGAAATGATTTATCAAAGGTATTAAATACCAGAAAAAAACTAGTTTCCTATGCGTAGTTGTCCTTTGAGATATTGAGGTTTATTTTATGTAGTTTTTGGCAGTGGTATGGGGATCCTTAACCCTTTCACCCCTAGGTAACTTAAGTAGACTCTACCATGCATTGATATGGATGAGTCCATTATGGTCTACAGTGGTGAAAGGGTTAATTAAGGTTCAGGGTTTGAATCCATGTCTAGCACACTGTCTTTTACATTCACAACACTATTGATTATATGAAAATATAATAGAGATAACATGTAAGGTATGCAAGGTATGGTTTCCTTTTCAGAAATGATTTATCAAAGGTATTAAATACCAGAAAAAAACTAGTTTCCTATGCGTAGTTGTCCTTTGAGATATTGAGGTTTATTTTATGTAGTTTTTGGCAGTGGTATGGGGATCCTTAACCCTTTCACCCCTAGGTAACTTAAGTAGACTCTACCATGCATTGATATGGATGAGTCCATTATGGTCTACAGTGGTGAAAGGGTTAATTAAGGTTCAGGGTTTGAATCCATGTCTAGCACACTGTCTTTTACATTCACAACACTATTGATTATATGAAAATATAATAGAGATAACATGTAAGGTATGCAAGGTATGGTTTCCTTTTCAGAAATGATTTATCAAAGGTATTAAATACCAGAAAAAAACTAGTTTCCTATGCGTAGTTGTCCTTTGAGATATTGAGGTTTATTTTATGTAGTTTTTGGCAGTGGTATGGGGATCCTTAACCCTTTCACCCCTAGGTAACTTAAGTAGACTCTACCATACATTGATCTGGATGAGTCTTTTATGGTCTACAGTGGTGAAAGGGTTCAAAATTAAGTTTGATGGCTTGCCATAAACTCTTCCATCAATCTTACTTCACATCATATTTTAAAGGATTTCTTTGTTTTGGTTTGTGTTTTTGAATCACCAAATGTTATATTCATCAGTTGGTGCATGCTATTGAAATGTTCACTTTCATGACAAAGAGTGATGTTGAAATTTACCTATTGATATTTATACGCCTGCATTGACCTCACTGGTGTATCCAGTATTTACTTTGTCCGTGTGTCCGTCTGTACGTGTATACAATGTATATTCATCCGTGTAGTATTTACTTCATATGTGTGTTTGTCCATCTATCTCTGTATTCGTCCGTGCAGATTGTGGTTTCCAGAGCATATATCTCAGCCACTGTTTCACTGAAGGGCATCAATCTTTCTACATGTATGTACATCATGGGAAGGCAGTGTCATTTCCTAAAACAAGGTCTCTGTGACCCCAATTTGACCTTTCACATTGACCTCAAGCACTGAAATAGTGGTTTCCAGTGCATACCTCCGCTGTTTCATATGAATATGCTCAGCTTCATGGGTGTACAATGAGCAATCATCACGGGTCATGATATAGTCATGTCCTTTAGCATTAAACCCAAGTAATTTCATACACACAGAAAATCATATAAGCTTTTAATTTGGCCGTATTATTCAATTTAGACATGAAAAATGTACCCAAAATCAGCCATGCTCTTCTGTTTTGTGTTACATTGATCATGAATACAAATCAAAAACAGGATTTCATATTTTAATTGATAAGGCATGAATAACCAATATTGCTATGCAGATTAATCAGTATTTCCTTTCTTTTATGTATTGATGCTAATAATTGGGTTGAAAAATAACATTTTGTCCTTGCTGATGTTTTTATCTGTCGCAATGTTGATGATATCTATCATTGCATAAAACAAAACACTAATTCTGTTTCAATCAGTTTCACGCTTGGGACTTTATTTAATCTCGGTAAATACCTGCAATTAAGTCTCTTAGTACGATCAAGATTTCAAACTTGGTATATTGTACAATTATCAACTAATTTCAAGTTTATAAACGTGTAGTATAGGTTGATCGTCTCCTAATGTACAGGATATTGATTATCCTCCTCTCAGTGTACCTCAGGTGATTATTAAATAACGTTTTACTTTATATTGTCCATTTGTAATTAAGCCTTATAACAGTCAAGTTACTGAAATGATTATTTACCTTATTTTAAAACATGTCCTTTTAGCGCACGTCTATTAATATTATAAATGCCATATCATATATACTGTCCATCTTCCACTTTATAGATATATTTAACCCTTTCACCACTGTAGACGATAATGGACTCGCCCTGATAAATGTAATGGTAGAGTCTACTTGAGATACTTAGGGGTGAAAGGGTTAAACAGAATAAGATTATGGCATACATAATATAATGCCTATACCCAATTTTATAAAGTTATTTGAATAGAAAAGCGTTATAACATACACTGTTCATATAGTTATGTAAGATCTGTACAGGATAATATTTCCTTTTGTTTTTCACAAATCCTATACACAGTGATATCATGTCCATATTATTCTATAGGATTATTCTATTTCATTGTTATCATTGTATAATTGTTGTAATAATATGCCTATGAGCCGCAAGGCTTCAAGCTGATAAACAATACAATGTGAGTTTGGGAGAAGGTGAGAACATGTCATATTGATGATCTGTAACCATACTTCAACACCGTCCTACCTGAAACGATTCTTGTTTTATCCCACCAATTTCAAAATAGGATTCGGCCTGTACGCAAGTATGTATGTTACTCTTTGTCATTGCTCTAGCAACTTCATTCCTCAACGATATTTCATGAAACTTGATACAAGTGTTTGGAATGACAATGTCTTAAACAAGCTTACGCTTCAGGTTACTGCGTTAACGATCAAGGTCACCTTTACTATTTTTACCAAAAACTTTATCATCGCTCTTTAAGCGACTTCATTTCCTCTTACATATGTCACAATGTGTGAATGCGAGGGGATTTGTATCATTTGTGATGCCTTGTTCCGCTTTGAGTTAAAACTATGTAACATTTATGCTTGTTCAATGAATAGAACAGCCATCGCCCGGGGGTGGGTCATTGGTATCCAACGTAACAACTATGATGTCATAATACTGATGACATCAACAATTGGTCCATGGCATTCATAGCCTATATGAATGCCAACTGAATTTGGTAGAGTTATATAGTGGCAATGCCATACGATTGTAAATATATAGTTGTGCACCTCACTTTCATTTTTTGATTGATTTATGGCCCTTTGTTGAAAAACCAGATAAATTCTTGTTCGAACAACTTCTACATTTGTCTACCGAATTCAACTAAACTTTAAAAATATGGTAACCAAACCCTGATGTTGTGCATCCATTAATTTTTCATTCTGACCCTTTTAATGAGTTATGGCACTTTCTGAAAAATTGGAAAAACTTGTAGGCTGATTTCAACAAAACTTGATGCATATAATAAGTACCCCGTCATTGTTCATCTTTATATTATTTTTTCATTCCGACACTTTTATGGAATTATGGCCCTTTGTTAAAAGATTTTAAACTGTTCTTTTAATGTTTTGTTTTCACCATTTTGCCCAGAGTTATCGCCCTCTTTGAATCGTGTGATTTCAATCTTTATCTGGGCAACTCCTTCTAAAGTAATAGACTTAAATGATTTTTTTTACTCATGACCGATTCTTCATGCATGCAGTGGTGCACCTCACTTTCATTTTTTCTTTCAGCCATTGATGTAAGATTTTCTTCAAAACAAAGTAGGGGGCAGGGGTTATTAGTTAGCCAGTGGCTTATAGTTGTAGTTCTCACTGGAGAGATCTCTGTCAAATATTCGGTTCCTAGTTGAACAGCTAGGAAAAACAAGTTGGCTACCAGGCAGGCATCAAACATTTTGACAGGTCCAATTTGTTATTGCTTTTTCTCAAGAAGTTTAGGACAAATCTTGATGATCAAATATTGTTGATATATATAAGTTTCCTTGATACATAGTTTCGCCTGTTTAATTTTGAGACTTATCTTGAATTAAACGAGATGGCAGCCATCTTGGATTTTGTCAGTTGAAGATCGTTTACATTACATTTATATATCTGAAGCATAACTTGACAGACATTTCATAAATTTGATTTGTAGATTCCTCTGGGTCCTTAAGTTTTATATTTTCAATTTTGTGTCTGATAAAAAAACAAGTGGATTGCCAGGCAGACGTTTTGTATCTGAGTGTTGAAGATTTTCATAACTATATTCAACAAGTAAAACATAGGTCTTATTCAAATGTCTTAAAGTTAAAATGTTCTTGTTCCTTAATTTTGTATATTTAATTTTGAGCTTTACACAGCTTGATTAGGGACAAAAATATAATGAAAAGAAATGAGAAAATTATCTTTTTCCCTATGGGCCTGTGCCTCCCACCTTTTACTCATTTGGAATCTTTGAAATTCAAAGATGGTCCAAGTCTCATGACAGTGTTCTTGTTGATTGCATGCACAAACACATGAATTTCCTAACATTTGGTTTTTAGCTCACCTGGCCCAAAGGGCCATGGGACCTTATGCCGTACTGCGGCGTCCGTCAACTGGAGGACGTAGGGTCATGATATTTGGCCAGTAGGTACCTGGGATGGAGTGCTATAAAGTGTCCCCATTAAAATGACCTTGACCTACTTTCAAACAACAATATCCTAAGAACTTTTTGGACTAGAATCATGATACTTGAGTATGTTATGTAGACCAGAAGTGCATTTTTTTTTTTAATTACAGTATTGAGATCAATGGTCAACTTCAAGTGCTAGTCGGGGGTCAAACCTAAACATTGGTTAAAAACAGTCTTCTTCTCAAGTTCCATAAGGTACAGGGTCATGATATTTGGCCAGAAGGTGCCTGGGATGGAGTGCTATACATTTCCTCATTAGAATAACATTGACCTACTTTCAAGGTCACAGGGGTCAAATATGTTAAAAACTTCAAACAATGATGTCATAACGAGCATTTGGTCTAGTCATGATACATGAACCTTGGTATATTATGAAGACCAGCTGTGAATCTTTTTCTTTTACTCGGTACTCTACGTTTATAAATCCTCTTGGGAAGAAAATTACTCAGTTCTTATTAGATTGTTGTCACTGTCATTCAGTGAGATCCTGAACTTCATAGCACTTTATAAAATTAAGCTCTACAGGGACAGTATAATATAGTCTCGCGACAGTGGCTTTGTTGATTGCATGCACAAGCACATGAATTTCCTAACATTTGGTATTCTTTCCATGAGTCATGGAATGATCACCAAATGTTATATTCATCTGTTTGTGCTTGCTTTTGACATGGTCCCTGTCATTTTGAAATGTATATATTGATAATATAGCCCCGCTATGACCTCTGGGGGGTATATAGTATTCATAGATATATGTCATGGTTAATATGCAGAATTGTCTTTCATTTTTATTGGGTTAGTAATGCAATGAAGTTAAGGGGGAAGGGTTATACTGGAATTACCCTGTTCGTCTGTCGTCCGCAGTAACCAGTAACTTGTACAGAAAACTCATCCTTAACTAACGGGTGGATTTCATTGAAACTTTGCATGAATGGTGGATATCTTATGTAGTTGTTGTGCATTGGCATTTTAATTTGGGACTTCTGCCCTTTTTGATGGAGTTGTGTTCCTTTGTGCGAAATACTTGTCCATGCAACTCCTCCTACACTTACAGGTGGATTTCTTTAGCCATTGGCTTAAAGTTCTAGTTGTATTGAGCCTTTAAAATAATGCTGTAAATTATAATGATGTTTGTGACTCCCCTGCAGGTTGGGGAACATGAAAAGAATACACCTGCTGTTTCCCCCTCTGCATGAGCGTAAAAGGCGACTAATGTGGGGATCCCTCTGCAGAATTGGGGATTTGCTTTTGTGTCCTCCTTTCGGGGACATAAAAGTGAACAAATAATTCTGTATCTACATTTTATTTTTTTAATTTTTTGTTATTTTATTTTGTTTTTGTTTTTAATGAAATTTTCAATGAAATAGTGATTAACTCATTACTGGTGGGAGACTATATTGCTTTGCATTAGTTAGCTTTTAGCTTACAATTCTGGTTTATATAGGAGTGGGGGTATTAGTTAGCCTTTGGCTTACAGTATCTGACCTTCAAAGGTGGTCCAGGTAATTCAGCACTTCATAGAACTTTACAACATTAAGCTACAGGCAAAATATACCCTTTTCTCTGAGTTATAGATGCCTTTCTATTGTATATTTGAAAGTTAGAAAAAAA